ATCTCAGCCATTGAATCGTCCAGCGTCTCGACAAAGGTTCCGAGAGCTTGGTTGGGAGGTTCTTATGCATCCTCCCTAGAATATGAACATCACTTCACGATTACTACGTATTCTTGCATTTGGCGAATAATTTTGCTGGTGAAAAATTCACCTCAAAAGAATCTTGTGAATATCGACTGCAGCAGTTTTTTGCGAATAGGGAATTCTCTCAGTATTTCTGTTTTTATCTAAATCGTATGTATAATATAATCTCAATTTGCTAAAAATAATCGATTTATTTTTATTTGGTCTAATTTAATTATACGGCCGATTCTCAATCCCTTTTTCACCGTTCCCCAGCAGACGAAAGTAAAATATACCATATACAAACAATGTAATGTCATTGTTCTTGCTTTAGCAGAATAAATTCTTTCACATGTTCTATTTTAATAATAACTCTTCTTTCGGATATAAAACCAAGTTCTTTCCAGTTATATACCGGGTTGACTTGAGATTCAAATGAAATCTCTTATATTCTATAGCTGTAATTGCTAAAGGTGGAAAACCAGTTTCACTGAACGCGATTATAAGCTACTTGGTATGCTTTTAGACTTCTTTCTCATCTGTCTTTTTACTAAAACCATTAGGCTATCAACTTTCCGAAACACTGCAATAGTTTCATTGTTTGGATAAACAACCAACTGTAAACTATGATACCGTCTATGATCGTCTTAAAGTTTGTGTGAATCATATAAATTTACTACTTGAGCTATACATTGCTGGCTTTACAGTTCTCTCACTGTTCTCTGARCAGTTTGAATCCAAACAAACAACGCGTCTTAGCTAACTGAAATGAACACGCCAGCATGTTCACAATAATAAGAAATTAAATCATATTTTTATTCAACTTAGGGAGCAGTGCTAAAGTTTTTCGTTGGACAAGTGAAAAGCGATAAGAAAAGTGTATGTTTAAACAACTTGTAAACCTATTTTTAATATTTCCAAACTAAAAGAGACAGAGAAGACGCTAAATATAATATAATGAGCTGAAAGAATCCTTTTTTAGATTTTCACACTATTCTGATATACTTCTAGGTATATAATGGGAAATAGATGATGATATAAAAATTATATCGTCCAAATTTGATATATAACTGTCTTATCTATATAACATCTTTACTCGTATTCGACACATAATATCTTTTTTCATTCAAGTATAGAAGTATCGATTTCACATAGTCCATTTGTAATATATTGTAAAATGTACTTAGAAGATCTACAGATTTCTTTCTGCCGAAATATTAAGATTTAGTGCAGCGCTAACAACACCGTTCCAATGACTGCCCTGCGCAACTTTAACCAACTTGCAGACATTTGTTCATCTGCTGSCACTAACACATACATAGTGCCTAACATACCAGTGTATATTCGAACACATGTAGCCACTCTTTTCAATGCCAGCGACTACTTAAAGCAGAGCATCAGCAAAATGAAGATTAATGGTTGCAGTGGGGGAACAATTTAACCGCATTATACCCTCAAGTATAAAGTATGAATGTACACAGCAAAAGAACCAAAAATTATGTAAGAAAAGCAGCAAGTAATAGGCGGGTGTGTTTGGAAGAGGAACCACGAAACAAGTGTGAAAAGTGTGGAATGTACATATATGGCATAACAACTGCGACTCCCACGCGAGCGACAAAACGGCAAATGTGCCACAGCGGCAGCGCTTGCCTTGAGAGTATGAAAATTACTAAAGACTGAGCTTTTAGGCACGTGGAACCTTTTTGGTGTAGAAATTTCGATGATTTTAMAATTTACTTTTTTATTTTAAGTAAAGTTTGTWACACTCAGAAGGAAAGGTCGGAATATATTATATATATTATATAAACTTTTATATTTTATTTATATAAGTAACTACTTCCTCAGTATTTAAGATATTACTTTGAAATTTTGCACAAGTCTATTTCTCCATAAGAAGCTGGTCATATGTCAGAATCGCTGATATCGGACTTCTGTAGCATAAAGCTGCCATACAAACTGAACGGTCAAAATCAAGTTCGTGTATGGAAAACTTTTTAATTTGACAAGATATATTTACGAAATTGGATACAGATTATTGTCAAATGTCAGTCTATAATATC